TACCGTCTTATCTCAAGTCGAAAGTCAGCTACGACACGTGGCATGAACGCCACAAGGAAGACCTCCCACACATCAAGTTTTGTGGAGGGGCTGCCGTGCGTGAAAACGACTTCCGACGGTTTTACTTACGAGAGCAATGGGTAGGTATTTGGGTGGACGAAATACGACAATGGACCGCATTGGCCAAACGCGAGGACACTTGCAAAATTAATCCGGACCGTTGTACTACGGGTCTCCGTGACCCCCATGGGGTATGAAAACGTAAACCTATTGCGATAATGGCTACAAGCCGTCTCTTGCTTACACCTTTCGAGAGGAAACGGTGTGCGGTCCATCATCAACATGCTTCGGTTTGTAGCACGGAACTGGCCAGGGCAGCCCAATGTACTCCGAAGATGCAGTGCCTCTTCGTCGAAGCAGTTCAAATTGCACGCGACGTAATCCTGGTGAATCGTGAGCCTTTCCATGATCATCCCCTCTCATCTTCCGTTCTCGTCGCTAACGTGCGAGAATCCGACTTCGGTGACCCAGCTGTCCGTCGGCGCCCAAACGGTTCGATCATGGGGCCACCTTCAGGAGGATGGGGGTGTCCAGCATGTGCGGACAACGTCAACATTCATTCCCCTTTCACACGACAGGAGCCCTAGACACTGTAGGTGGTACGACAAGGAGGATTACCGCTGGGGAAGTCAAGGCTACAGGGATAACTATTGTCAGGCTAAGCCTGGTCACTTACTTGCGCCTGGCAAATGCAAGTTTGCCAAGCCGTGGGAGCTGCCCGACAGCCGCGGACGGGAACTTCCTGCTCCTGCCATACCGACAGCGCCGCCACCTGCGGCGGCAGCCGCGCCCGAGGCACCAGCCGCTCTACAATTTGCGCGGCTGCGAGCGCCGAGGCCTGGTTCCAGAGCTGGACCAACAGCGGGCGCCGGCAGCCGCAACATCACGGTAGGCAGACATGCTGCTGAACCGGCTGCGGGGCAACCTGCCTCGAGTGGAGCCGGTAGCTCAGACGACTACAGACGACTACCACAGATCATAGCCAGACGGGGTCGGCAGCAATCATGATCCACCTCCGCCGCCACCTGCGGGTGACTCTTGCTGCTCGTCCATGACTCCCAGACTGGTCAAGGTTCGATGTGCAGATCAGTCTACATAACCTACGTAGCCTTGGCCCAAGCGTGGTAACGCGCGGGTTGTGGAAACTACGCTTGCAGTGGTTCCACGCCACAGAGTCCAAGATGCGTCTCATCTTAGCCAAGGCTGGTCTGGACAGCATCAGGCTGAACTTGATCAAGGGCGTCTGTGACACATGTCGGGAGTGCAGGGCTTGGGACAGGGCAGGGCATGCCACTTTGCCATCTACTGCACGACCTGGCAAGTTCAATGAAGAAGTCGAGTTCGACATAATGTTCGACAAACAGGATCATTTCATATTTCATAAAATGGATCGTTGCGTTCGAAATGCTACTGGAATAAAGATACCAGATAATACGATGACTGGCATCTCAGATGCGTATCATCAGTGCTGGATGCAATTCGGACCTGCCAAAGTACTCTACTCCGACGGGGAGGGTGCGCTTCACAACGACGCCGCAAAGGCAGTCCTTAAGGCAAAGGGCGCTGAACTGAGGATACGCGCGCGTGGACAACGCGCTGCGACAATTGAAGCCAGAAGTGGCATACTACGACATTTGCTTCACGTCATGGAGGCTGGACTCAACAGGTTAGACATACTTCCCGCGACCACTGCACGAAGCTGTATTTGCCGCCAGTGCGTCTACAATTTACAATGATGTTTCTCCATGCGACGCGCTATTTGAACGGCAGCCAGCGGTGGTACCTGACCTGCCTGTTCTGGGCCATGAGCAGCAGACAGAAACATCCGATCACTCTCGAGAACAGACTATCCGCTGGGTAGGCATTGAGGCTATCACACAAGCCGCTGCAGTAGCCAAAACCCATCGTGCACTACGGACCAATACCGCTATCACTTGTCAGCACTACTATGATGAAGGAGACTTGGTTGACTATCGTCGTCCCACTATGGACGATTGGGGGGGCTGGGGCGGCCCTCTCCTGGTCGTGCGAAACGATCCCGGCAGGGGTCAAGTTATTATCCGAGTGGGAAACCGCGACGTACAAGTCCAATACGGTGACGCACGACATTCAACGAAAGGTTTGATCGCCCGAGAGATTGGCTCAGACAGCGCTGCACCACGGACGGTGTTGACATTGATAGCCAGTCTACCTGCGGGGCGACCTGATGACATTTGGCTACGTCCCGACCAAAAAGGGAACGCTTCAGATGCCAAGTGCGAGCCGACTTTTTTCCTAAGGTACACTTAGCTCTCCAATGCCTCATCAGGAATTTTTTTCGTACCAAGAACGTCGCCTCTGTCAGGTTAGCTAAGAGTATTCACAAGCTATCTCCGGTGGCTGATGCTGACAGTTGTACACTGGTGCACTCTGACAACGACGTGAATCCAGGCTTCCACTATTACGAAACCGAAGGCGCTGCCCTAAACATGCAGTATCTACTTGGATCAGCGCATTCGAGCATCATCCAATGCTTAAAGTCCACTGAACCTCAAGCAGGCTTCGACCAAGACATGACGAAGTTTGAGGAACTGGCAGACGCACCGACGCCAGACAACGACGCCAGAGAAGTTCCAGAAGCCGAACAACACGGATGGCTTCGTATTATTTATGAGGAATCGGAAGCGGCACATATTATGGGTGTGTGGCGCGCAGAACTACAGGAGGAAAAGGAGCTACTGGAGGCAATTCCAATAGACGACCTCTATACTGTACCCACACAGATGATCGCCGACAACACCGTGCTGGTCACGGTAGCTGAAGAACAGCGGGGGCACCTGCCTACATGGGGTCATCCACGCGACTCCGGCACCACGGAGACATACCATGTCCCACGATGCTTCACGGACAATGACGATACTTACGGATTTGACTCTGACGAGCATGGTCATTATATGGAATTCTGCATCACTGCAGACATGCCAAAAGTAGCCATATCCGAACAACAGCATAGGATATTAGACTTCGACCGTGTGAGCACTATGCGAGTATATGTGACCGCTGCCGCCAAACGAGCTGAGGTCGTCGTGGGGGATGACCTCCTCGCGAAGGCCCACATTCGGGCGAATCCAGACAAGGTATCCCAGGCTCTATGCACTGAACTCAAGACATGGCTTGGCAACCAGGTTTTCCAAGATGCAATATATATATATATATATATATATGTATATATATATGTATATGTATGTATGTATGTATATATATATCAAAGGAGTCAAACATCATCACTTCGAGATGCGTATACAAGTGGAAGTTCATAAAGAAAGAAAAGGTCGAGATGGAACGGGCCATCGGTCTGCGCCTGGTATTTGAGGATTTCATGGACCTCGAAGCCCTCGACCTGGAAACTTCGTCAGGGGCGGCGCGGTGGTCGAGTCAGAAACTATTCGCGAGCGCGACAGCGTGCAAGATGGAATGAATCATTGCTTCCTTTGACATCCACATGGCTTTCCTGAAGGGACTAACCTATCAGGAACTTGCTGGAGCAACCGGTGAAAAGGAACGTGTGGCGTGCTTTGCACTGCCGCCTGGATCAGCATCGGTGCTTGGATCCCCCCAGGATTTGAGCGCTGCGGTGAGTCGAAGCACTGCCTGCAGTGCCTCAAACCAGGTACCGGCACCAAGGACGCACCTGGAGCCTCCCCACTGAAGCTCAGAAAGACCACGAGAGGGTTCGGTCTCATACCCACGTCCTACGACGAAGAGTTCGAGACAAGGGCCTAACCGTCTTGCAGCCGAGCACGTTGATTACATCAATATGGGCGGTACTGCGGACGCTATCGATAGCTGCGCCAAGTGTGTTGAGGATATTTCTGGTAAATGTAGATTCAACAAACGCACATCTACCAAGTGTGCTGTGAGGTACACGAAGGATTGGGACGGTAACATTGCACTCGATCAATCTGAATATAAAAAAAAACAGCTCCGTCCTATACAACATCCTGAACTCACTGGTGCAGACGCTGACGCCAAGGCATCAAAGATTGTCACTGACATGCATGTCGTCCTCAGGGACGCTTTGGCTTACGCTTTAATCGCGCAGGTGTGGTTGAGGTATGTTGCACCCGTGCAGCGTGTCCAAGAACCGACCAACATACAAGTGCGACGACTGAGCGCGATTACCAGAAAGTTGCAGGCTTGCCCCAAGAAGTTCGTCTATCGATCGATGACCCCAATGGGTGAGGTTGACCTGCGCAGCGACTCCGGCTATCGACGTTTGAGTGAAGATGCGGAGCACGAGGTCCAAGGCCATGGTACTCGCGGAGCAAACCTGCTACCGCGTGGAAGCACGCCTGCTGGTGCGCCTGTCGTCCATCTTATCGACGCGTACTGCAAGTCTCACCGCTTGCAGGTCCGTTCGAGCTATTCAGCAGAAACACTTAGCAGCAACCCACAACTTGGAGGACTGCTATCCCGCGATCGTCACTCTGCACGAACTCCACGCAAGGCCTCTGACACCCAATCAGTTGAAGGATCTACTGGAGATGGGCGGCCTGAGCATTAAGGTCACTTTGGCCATAGATGCGGAATCTGTTTTCAAGTCCTTGCTAGGCAAAAACCTGAAGAAAGCGACCGGGTGTACTCTTCTGGGACACATCAGTTGAATACGACATATGGGGGAGGCTGGGGCAAAAGGCGAGAGATAGCGAACGTTTGTCTGCGGCCCTTTGTACTCAAGCGGCCGGCCGCCAATATAGGACTGTGCCTCATCGCGAGGCACGCCATTCGCCATCGAGACCGAAAACATCTTCGTTTGACATGGCTGTTCGCTCCCGCGATTCACTCCTACTCTTGGGACTATCGTTGCTACGGTACAGCAGAGTTGGATATGGGCTTCGCCTTAGGCGAAACTGCTGGTTGGGCCTCCCAACCCCGTTCGAACTTCTCGAGTGTGTCCCGAGTGTCCGTATCGTATTCGCATGCGCGTTTGTCGCGTCCACTTGGGGTCAGTTGCGTGCCCGTCGCGCATCCCCTGCCCGCCTGTCGCGTGCCAGGGTCCGCAGAGTCTGGGGACTTTGTAGAGCGTGAGGATGATGAAGCGGGACGTTGAGTACAGCAGGGCGGGAGCAGCTTCAGCGCGACGAGCAGGGGGTTGCGATTTCTGATGCGGAATGGCCGTGCTTGCCTTTCGACCTTTTGGGTGCCGCGACCGCTCTGGCGATTTCGGAACAGATGTTAGCTGGACTTCGCAGATTGCGTCGTCAAGCGGCACGGGCGAGGTTTCCTGGAGGTTGCAGCGCTGGCTGCAGAGCCTTTGGACAACCGAGCACTGCGCGGCAAGGGTAACATAGCTGTCGACATGCTGCTGTCATTTCTTTTACCGCTTCGCTCATTCCGCTGGCCCATTTCGCATCGCGGTGGCTGGATGGTGGTGTGCTCGTGTCCAGGGGAACGGTAGGGCAGACAGAATTGTTATCGAGGAGGTCTTTGGAGATTTGGCTCTCACCCAGCCGAGTTTCGAGACGTACCTGGGTTGTGTAGGTAAGAATCCTCACGGATGCTTCTTGGGGTCTCTTCGGAGAACTTTCCGGAGCCTCTGGCGAGCAGTTTTGAGGCCAAAGGGGAGCTTCTCGGGGGCTTCTTGGGGGCCTCTTGGGGCTTTCTGGCGGCATGTTTCAATGCTTATGTCATCGAATCGCTTCGCTCACTCAAGAGGCCCATTTCGTATCACTGTGGCTGCGTCGTGGTGTGCTCGTGCCCAGGGGGAACGGTAGGGCAGGCAGAACACTGTTATCGAGAAGATCTTTGGAGATGTGGTCGCACCTCGCCGAAGAGAGGCGATCGACTGCCCCAGAGGGCGTCAAGATGGCTCAAGAGAGTTCCATCCAGCCGAGTTTCCAGAAGCGTCTGGGTTGCGGATAAGAGTCCTCATGGATGCTTCTTGGGGTCTCTTCGGAGGATTTTCGGGAGCCTCCGGGGAGCAGTTTTGAGACCTGTGGGGAGCCTCTTAGGGGCTTCTTGGGGGCCTCTTGGGGCTTCCTGAGGGCCTGTTGGGAGTCATGGGAGCCTCTTTTGGGGCCTCTTGGGTGGCTCTTGGGGCCTTTTGGGGGCTTCCTGGGCACCTCTTCGGGCCGAGAGCTCGAAAATGATCTGTGCGTCTTCGGGGCTTCTCGTAGTCCTCTTGGAACCCTCCTGGAGCTTCTTAGGCGCTTCTCGGGCCGTCTTGGGACCAACGTGGGCCATCTTGGAACGCTTGGGGCCTGAGGCCGTGGGGCGTGCCACCCTTTTGGCGCCTCGCTGGGGCGCTCGGGGGGCCCCCGAGGCCGCGCCCAGGAGTTCCGGCATCTCTGGCCCGACCCTGCCAGGACTTTGCCGCGGGACTTTGCCTGTGTATTTTTCGTCCGGGGACCCCTGGGGGCCGCCGCGCGCGCGCGAGCTATGTTACCAGAGATTTTAGCACGCCTCTGGCCCGTTAGGGGCGGGCGGATTCATGGCGCTTTGGTTAGAGGGCTCTGAATAGTATAGGCGAATGGGGCAGCAGTCCTGGATTGTAAGAAGATCACATCGTATCCACAACCCGAGTTACGATGTGATTATTCTTTGGCCCCTACGCTACTGCCGTCCACTGCTGATGCCCACGCCGCCGCGGCCACTTTGGTCGCGAGTTCGGTGCGTTGCCCCGTTTCTTTGCGTCCACTTCGTGAATCCAGAGTGTCTTTTACAACTTAGTTACATCTTCAGTCGCTTCCTCCTCATCCTTACTTATCAGGGATGTCGACTGACCACCCTGGCCTGGCATATACTTGGCCCTGTATTTGGGTAGATACATGCCTTCCTGGTCAAGCCAGGAGTGTATACACCGATCTTGGGCCTAGGTTAGGTGCGGGCATGATCGGTAAGGTGGTCAGTTGACGTCCCCCGAACCTACTACCTCCCAGCCAGAAGGATTCTCAAATTACCCCGCGGACATAACATATTCGTTTGCCCATAGGCCAGGCTGTCGGACAAGAGCGGATAGGGCCAGATTTGCCGACCAGCGCCAAGCGCGCGGCTGTTCACAGGTAGCTTGAAGTCATGTTTGATTTTGTCAAGATGCTTGCACTCTCTGGCAAGAAGCTCGGGGCCGCTGGACTAACGGGGTATCAGCGCAATCCTTTTCTTCCGCTTTACCCTGATCCTTTCCTCTCCCTCGTTCAAAGATGTGTCGGAGGAGCCTCTGATATCATCGATGGTTTGGGGTGGGGCGCAGATGCCTGGCAGGCTGGGATGGCCCTATTGTAGCCATCCGCACGCAGAGATGATGCACTTGCCTCGTCTTCCTTTTGATTATGTCGAGCCTTCGTTAGTGGAGCCGAATGAGGTACTGACCAGACATAAGAAAAAAGAGTCTATATTGACATCAAGCCCCACCTGCCTCTGTTGGGTGGCGTTGTTCGCCCCATCCACTTTATCTGCCAAGCCACTCTGGAAGGAATGCGTGAAGGTGGCAGGTTCGTGGGAAGTTCGTGTGGCAGGTTCGTGTGCGCGGGGTTGAAGGCAGCCCTGCATTCCTGAGCCTTTCGGCAGGGCCGTCTCGCTGTTGACCGTGGGCGTCGCTTCACACGAGCGGGGTGACAGTTGTGACGTTCCTCTTGCTGGCTTGCCCCCGCCCGGCGACATGACCTGCACCGACAGAGCGCGACGATCGGCGTGCCGATCGCCCGTTGTCCAGCTGCCTGAGGCAAGTCCCGCCACCGTGCCAGCCCAGCATGCTCTGCAGCCTTCCTTCGAGGGGGCCCAGGAGGCCGTACTTGGGAGGGATGACCATCATGATAACGATAACGCTGACGATGACGATGACGATGGCGATGACGATGACGACAACGATGATGATGCTGATGATGATGATGGTGATGATGTTGGATGGATGTGATGATGTGGAGGATCAGGAAGGTGATGCTGATTTTCATGATGATGGTGTTGAGGATGATGATTGTGATGGTGATGATGCTGCGGCTGATGATGATGACGATGATGATGATTATCATCGTCATGATGATGATGTAGGTTATGATGCTGCTGATGCTGATGCTGCTGCTGATGATGCTGCTGATGATGCTGCGGCTGATGATGATGATGATGATCATCATCTTGACGATGATGATGATGATGATGATGATGATGATGATGATGATGATGATGGTGATAATGATGATGATGATGATGCTGATGATGATGATGATGATGATGATGATGATGATGATGATGATGATGCTGAGAACGCTGATGCTGATGATGCCAGCGATGAGGATGCTGATGCTGATGCTGCTGCCGCTGATGATGATACTGCTGCTGCTGATGCGGATGCTGCTGCTGGTGATGTATTGCAGATGATGCTGATGCTGATGCTGATGCTGATGCTGATGTTGATGATGATGCTGATGAGGATGATGCTGATGCTGATCATGCTGGTGCTGATGCTGATGCTGCTGATGATGATGCTGATGATGCGGATGAGGATGATGCTGATGCTGATGATACTGGTGTTGCTGATGTTGATGCTGATGCTGGTGATGCTGCTGATGATGAGGATGATCATGATGAGGATCAGTATGCTGTTGCTGATGCTGAGAATGCTGCTGCTGATGATGAAGATTCTGTTGATGCTGATGACGGTTATGATGCTAGTGCTGATGCTGATTCTGATGATGATGATGATGGTGGTGATTCTGATGATGGTGACGATGCCGATGCTGACGCTGATGCAGATGATGAGGCTGATGAGGATGAGGATGATGATGCTGATGCTGATGCTGATGCTGATGCTGATCATGCTGATTCTGATGCTGATACTGATGCTGATAATCGTGATGATGGTAATGATGCTGCTGATGACGACGATGAGGATGCTGATGATGATGCTGATGATTGTGATGATGATCAGGGTGTTGATGTTAATGAGTATGATGATGATGATACTGTTGACGATGCTGATGCTGATGCTGATGCTGGTGATGATGACAATGATGCTGATGATGATGGAAGTCAGGATGCTGCTCCTGACGCTGATGATGATCATTATGATGCTGGTGCTTCTGATGGTAATGATGCTGCTGCCGATGATAATGATGCTGAAACTTCTGATGCTGATGCTGATGATGATGATGCTGCAGCTGCTGATGCTGATGCTGATGCTGATGTTGATGATAATGCTGCTGATGCTGATGATGAGGCTTATGATACTGATGCTGATGCTCTTGCTGATGCTGATGCTGATGCTGATGATGCGTATGCTGATGATGCTGACGATGGTGATGCTGATGCTGCTGATGCTGATGATGCTGATGATGATCATCATGGCACTGATGATGCTGATACTGATTGGGATGATGATGCTGATGCTGATGTTGATGATGATGATGCTGATGCGGCTGCTGATCATGATGATGCTGACGATGCTGATGCTGTTGAGGATGGCGATGAGGATCGATGCTGATGCTGATGCAGATGCTGATGCTGCTGCTGCTGAGGATAATGATGATGGTGATGACGATGATGGTGATGATGATGATGCTGACTCCGATGCTGTTGATGATGAGGACGTTGCTGATGCTAATGAGGATGATGAGGATGATGATGATGATGATGATGATGATGATGATGATGATGACGATGATGATGCTGATGCTGATGCTGATGCTGCTGATGATGATGTTTATGACGCGGACGATGATGCTGATGCTGATGCGGATTCTGCTACTGATGATGATGCTGATGAGGATGATGACGATACTGATGATGGTGAGGATGATGAGGATGATGAGGATGAGGATGATGATGCGGATGCTGATGATGATGCTGATGCTGATTCTGATGCTGATACTGATGCTGATAAGCGTGATGATGGTGATGATGCTGCTGATGACGACGATGAGGATGCTGATGATGATGCTGATGGTTGTGATGCTGATCAGGGTGTTGATGTTAATAAGTATGATGATGGTACTGTTGACGATGCTGATGCTGATGCTGATGCTGGTGCTGATGACAATGATGCTGATGATGATGGAAGTCAGGATGCTGTTCCTGACGCTGATGATGATCAATATGATGCTGGTGCTTCTGATGGTAA